TATAAAAATATATTTAATTTTTTTTTCTTAAAGAACTTGTAACATTTTTGCTTGTATTACATGCTCTACAAAACTAAAATAAATAACAACTCTCCCTAATGTTAATGCAAATTAAGAAATAAACATATAAGATTTTTAATGTTCACCAATACTGCAAATCAAAATATAAGAGCAAGTAAAAAAAAATTGTAAATACTGACAGAAACTAAAGTTATTGTATACTAAATCTATAATAAAAAGAAAAAAAATACACCTAATATTTTCTTAGTTGATGATTAAGTAAACAACCAAACCAAATTTTTTAAAATTGAATTTATGCACAATTTGTATATACAGAATCTTTTTATATAATACACCTAATATTAAAAAATCCAAGGCACTCATGTGAATCAAAATTTGGAAACACACAGATTCACATGATTTGTCAACATCATCTATTTTTTTAAGAGCACTGAATTTCATTTTAAATAACAAACATAGAAAAATCAAAGCACATCTGTAAAAACTTTTTTTGAAACCAATTTTCTAGTGTATAACACCAAACTAATTTAAAAAATCCATTGAGCAGAATTTTTGGCTTCACCAAAATTTATGATTTTGGTGATAAACAGTTGACAGTAAACATATTGAGCAGAATTTGGTGATTTTGGTGATAAAAAACATAGCATTTGCAACTACTCTTTGGTGATAAGAAATTCTGCTTTGAAAACACATTGAGCAGAATTCTTCTGATTAAACTATCAAAGTAAAGCAATAACAGAAGCTGCAGCCAAACGTTACCAAAGCAATAAACTAACCGAGCAGCCGAGCTTTTTATTTTTTATGGCTCCAAGTTCCTGATTAACTAACTGGGCAACCGAGCAGCCGAACAAAGTTCCCTTTTTCAAGTTCAAGTTCCTGATTTCAATTAAAAAACAAGTGATATATCAAAATCAAAACCGAAATCATACAAACCCATTTCAAAATCAAAACCGAAATCATTCAAATCCATTTCAAAATCAAAATTAAAACTGAACCAACTAAGAATTTAATATATTTCTACCATAAATATACTTTACTGAGGATATATGAAAACTAAGTGTATGTTATATAAAAATTTCATCAAAGAATTTCATCCCTTATTGAACTAAATTTGAACTAAAATATACTGAGTATGTGGTTCATATAAATATCAGTTATTGGTTCATGTGGGTTAAGTTAAATTTATATGATATATCAGTTATTGGTTCATGTATATTGGTTCATGAAATAAATATATAAATATATTGATTCATGTATATTGGTTCATGTATATCAGTTATTGGGTTAAGTTAAATTTGAAATATCAGTTATTGGTTTATGTATATTTTAGTGTGAGCTAAATTATATGAACCAAATTATATGAACCAAATTATAATTATATGAGCTAAATTATAATTTATATGAACCAAATTATATGAACCAAATTATATGAGCTAAATTATAATTTAGTTTGAGCTAAATTATATGAACCAAATTATATTTTAGTTTGAACTAAATTTGAAATATCAGTTTGAACTAAATTATATGAACCAAATTATAATTTGAAAAAATATATTTGAACTAAATATGTGGTTCATATAATAAGGGAAGAAATATCTACATAATAAGGGAAGAAACTAAGTGCAAGGGGATATATGAAAACTAAGTGTATGTTATATAAAAATTTGGAGTAGTCATTTTGTTTCACATTACCGAGCAAAATTCCTGTTTCACGTTATCGAGCAGCCGAGTTAATCATTTCCACCTCTGTTTCAAGTTCCTGTTTCACATGGAGCCAGAGTGAACAACGGTGAGAGTGGTCAGAGTGATCCACAGAAGCTCTGATGAAGGCAAAAGCTGAGAGAGAAAGAACAAAAATGAGAGAATAAAAATGAGAGAATGCTAAATAATAAATAATAAGAATATATGAATTCAATAACTTTTGAATTTGAATTCAATAACTGTGCAGAATTTGAATTCAACCCAGCATATGTTCAAACTGATATTTGGTTCATATAGCAAAACTGTGTCCTCACTTGGTCTTCAACCTAAATATTAAAGGGTTCAATTTCTTTTATTGCCAAAAACAAAATTAGCTTTTCAGAAAAAAAAGAGAGAGAAAAATATTAGTGAACATAACAAATCAAGACCATTCAGATTGTCTTATAAAAAAAATAAATTGAAAACTGAAATTTTAGTCAGTTAAATGATCAGCTCTGATCCATTGATTTTTCTTAGATCATTGTAACCATATGGGTATCCTGCAACCATGGGGGTGTGTGAACACTTTTCTTTTCTGTTTTTTGAAAAAAAAATAATTTAACAAACTTGTAACATTATTTTATAACATCTGCATATATAGCAATAAAAAAATGTGATTGCCATGTTGCCTGTTAACTATTACCTGTTATCTATTATTTATTATCTGTTGTCACTTCCTTTTCATGTAAAATAACAATAATAATAAGAAGAAAAATGATGCAGACAACTAATTATATGAACCAAATATCAGTTTGAACTAAATTTGAAATATCAGTTTGAACTAAATTATATGAACCAAATTATAATTTGAAAAAATATATTTGAACTAAATATGTGGTTCTTATAATAAGGGAAGAAATATCTATATAATAAGGGAAGAAACTAAGTGCAAGGGGATATATGAGAACTAAGTGTATGTTATATAAAAATTTGACTGTGCAGAATTTGAATTCAACCCAGCAGTTAAGAGTACAGAATTTGAATACAATAACTTTTGAACCCAGCAGTACAGCATATATCATATATCATATATCATACAGAGGTTCATGTAATACCACTCGATATTGCTGGGTTCAATATCATGTTTTAAAATTATCTTACAGTTATGTTTTCAACTCTATTAAAGTCATGTTTTCAAATATCATGTTTTCAAAACTACAGTTAAGAACCCAGCAGAATTTCTTTTGAACCCATAATTTCTTTTCCATACAACTATAGTTATCATTCAAATCAGTACACAGAATTTCTTTTCCATAATATAGTTATAATATTTTAACTATAGTTATCATCCACAAATCTGCAAATCTGCACAAATCTGCAAATCTGCACAAACTATATTTTAACTATAGTTTCCATAATATCATCCACAAATCTGCACAACTATAGTTATAATATCATCCAGAATTTCTTTTGAACCCAGAATTTCTTTTGAACCCAATATATATATCATTCAAATAACTCAAAATCCAAACCCAAAAACAGAAAAACAGAGCAAGGAAATGGAACCACTTAAAAAAACAAATGCAATTAAAAGAACATTTTAGCTCACAGACTGGGTTGTCAAAACTTCTGTTATTTTCATTTTTTTTCCCCAGAAGGCAAATGAAATCAAATTATGAATCGGATATATGACATCGACATCGACATCGACATCGACATATCATATGAATCGGATATATGACATCGACATATAATCCAAGTAGCAACAGGAAGTTGCATATTTTTTTCCAACATTCTCAAATCAATTTCGCATGTTATCATCAAATGCTATAACAATATATACAATACACACCCCACTATTTGCTTCTCTCAACTCTGCAACAGTATATTTTCACAAAGGGAATGGGAAGCTTATTTGCAGCAGCAGTATTTGCCAAGCTTACTCTGCAGCAGTATTTGCCAAGCTCTTTTCTAAATGGGAAGGTTTTTGAATGGGAATGGGAAGCTCTTTCCTAAACCATTACTCAGCAGCAGTATTTGCCAAGCTTCACATCTCATCAGAGAGTAGGAATGGGAAGGTAGATAGAGTGTATGAGAAGAAAGATGGTAGACAGAGGGTATGGGGAAGATAGGGGGTATGGGGGAGACACAGAAATATGTTGGGCAGGAACTGTGAACCATTGATATAAACTTGGGAGCAAATCTCAACCATTGATATAAACTTGGGAGCAAATCTCAGCTATTGGATCAAAATGTATCTCACATACATTTTTGACATAAATTCAAAAACCTTGGTGACTTATTATATAGATATATAATAAAAAAAATTGGAGACAAAATGGGCGGGTCAGGTTTAATAGGTGTAATGGCGGATCAACTACCACTCGACCTGAACCTGCGAAAACCTAGAATCTGGGCCTACATCCGCCTGCTATGTGTGACTCATCCACCAGAATGAGGGCGAGTCAGGTCGGGCCGGATGGGGCCAGACGGGTTTGGCAAGTCAGGCAATCTGTTGTACAGCCTTAGGCATGAGTGACATCTATGCACCAACTTAAGGGGGAGTGTTGAAGATTGATTGGCATGATTGATTGAAGATTGTTTGGTATGATTGAACTGTGAATATGTGTTAATTATGGTATTTATATCGATTATACTAGCTGTATCAATTACCTAATTATTGTAAATCATTCATTTTTATTGTAAATCATTCCTTTCTTATATTGCTGTGTATGGCTATATATATATCCCTTTACATTGGAGAAAAAAGTAACTAAATAAATAGTTCATCTTGAAAAACTCTGTATTCCCTTGTTTTCTATTGGAAAAGATGGAAAGACAAAGCTTCCAAAGTTTATTTACCTAAAACCAATAGAGAAAATGAAAGGAAGAAAGGAAGTAGGAGGAGGTCGGAGGCCGACGCCACTCTTCTCCACCCTAAGTAGCACCAAGGGAAGGAATCTTAGAAGAAAAAGGAGTAGAGAGAGAAGCTCTCAAATTCTAAAAAGAAAAAATTTTTTCTTTTTTCTTTTTTCCTTTCCTGTTGATAATCTTCTAGTCCATGGTGGCTAAATATTGGGTTCAACATTTAAAATTTGTTTTTTTTGGGGTAAATGAAGCTCAAATGAACCCAATATGATGAAGCTAAAATCTTGTGTTTTTTTTGTTGGTAATTTTCCCTTATTCTTATTATTATTCTTATTATTTTTTGTCAAAAATTTGTTAATATGTTTTGTACAAAGTTTATATGGTTAGGGCCCAAGTTTAGCCCACAGCCCAAATATTGTTTCCCCATCTCTCTCTCTCTCTCTCTCTCTAACCCCTAGCCCTGATTTCAGTTTCAGGGTTTAGAAGAAGCTTTATACCCAAAACCACACAAAACCCACCTCTCTCTCTTCGTGGATCATTCTCTTCCTCTCAACAGGTCACGAAACTCATGGCTTCTTCATCACCATCAAAGCCTCCCTCACTCTAAACTATTCTATCTCTCTCTCTCTATCTATCTATGTATGTACTCTCAAATGAATTTGAGAAAGCTGTCAATCACCAATCCCTCCCCAATCTTCTCACTCATCATCACTCGTCCTATAACCTCCGTGACTTCCACTTTGGCCTCCCAAGACCAAGACCAACAACAATCACAGCCGATTTTGCAGCATCAAAATCAACCCAAATTGTTTGATCAGAGTTTTCTCACTTGGGTAACTTCAATCCTCTCAAACCCATCTCTAGATTCATCTAAATGTAAAGACATTCTAACCCATTTGTCTCCTCACCAATTCGATACCCTTTTCTTCGACATTAGGTTCTCTGTGAACCCCAAAACTGTCTTGCATTTCTTTCATTTTGCATCTGATTCTCATGGGTTTAGGTTCACTTTGAGATCTTATTGTCTTTTGATTCGTTTGCTGGTTTTTTCCAATTTTGGTGACCCAGCTCGATTGCTTTTGATTAAATTAATTGATTTTAAGCTACCTATTTCGTTTAACAATCCCAAGAATAGGCATCTTGAGATAGCCAATGTGTTGTCTGATTTGAATTCGGTGTCCGAGCGGGCTCTTAGTGTTCGGACTTTTGATTTGTTGATTCATGTTTACTGTACCCAATTCAAGAATGTGGGTTTTCATATTGCATTGGATGTGTTTCGGTTGTTGGCGAGCAAGGGTGTGTATCCGTCTTTGAAGACTTGTAGTTTTCTATTGAGTTCGCTTGTTAAGGATAATGAGCTTCAGAAGAGTTATGAGGTGTTTGACATTATTTGCCGAGGTGTTGTACCGGATGTTTACCTGTGTAGTATTGCAATTAATGCATTTTGTAAGGGAGGAAAAGTTAAAGATGCAATGGGGTTGTTTCTCAAAATGGAGAAGATGGGTATTTCTCCGAATGTTGTTACCTACAATAATATTATACATGGGCTTTGTAAGAATGGGGATTTAGACGAGGCTTTTAAGTTAAAAGATCAAATGACAAAGAAAGGAGTGAAGCCGAGTCTGATCACGTACAGTGTCCTTATTAATGGGTTCATGAAATTGAAAAAATATGACAAAGCCAATTGTGTTTTGAATGAAATGTTGGGAGAGGGTTTTGTCCCAAACGAGGTTGTGTATAACACGCTGATTGATGGGTATTGTAAAATGGGAAATGTCAAGAATGCATTGAAGTTGAGGGTTGATATGGTGTCCAAGGGGTTTAATCCCAATTCAGTTACTTTCAACTCGCTTATCCTGGGTTTCTGCAAGATTAATCAGATGGAGGTAGCCCAGCAGCTTTTGGAGGAGATGCTATCACAGGGTTTGTCTATAAATCCTGGTGCTTTTACTTCAGTTATTCACCGGCTTTGTACAAATTCTAGGTTTGAATCTGCATTAAGATTCATTAGGGAAATGCTATTGAGAAACTTGATGCCAAATAATGGGTTGTTGGTATCATTATTTGGTGGGCTTTGTAAGGAGGGTAAGCATTCAGAGGCTGTTGACATCTGGTATAGGTTATTGGAGAAAGGGTTTGCTCCTAATATGGCGACCTCAAATGTTCTTATTCATGGTCTTTGTGAATCTGGCAACATGGCTGAGGCTGTGAGGCTTCTCAAAGAGATGCTAGGGCGAGGTTTGCAATTGGATAGGATTACATACAACACACTTATCTCACGGTGTTGCAAAGACAGGAAAGTTGAAGAAGGTTTTAAGCTAAGGGAAGAGATGGAAAAGCAAGGAATTCAGCCAGACATTTTCACCTACAATTTGTTGATACATGGGCTATGTAATGTGGGTAAGATGGATGAAGCTGTGGTCCTTTGGGACGAGTGCAAAAGGAATCATCTGGGTCCGAATATTTATACATACGGGGCCATGATAGATGGATATTGTAAAGCTGAGAAAGTTGAAGAGGGGAAAAATCTCTTTGATGAGTTGGTCAAGGAGAATATGGAACTAAATTTTGTAGTTTATAATACACTTATTAGAGCCTACTGTAAAAATGGTAATATGGTGGAAGCCTTTAGGCTTCGTGATGACATGAGAAGCAGGGCAATTCCACCAACTTCTGCCACTTATTCTTCTTTGATTCATGGATTTTGCAAAATTGGCCATGTTGAGGAGGCAAGACTCCTTATCCAGGAAATGAGAAAGGAGGGATTGGTGCCTTGTGTTGTTTGTTATACTGCTCTTATTGGTGGTTACTGTAAGCTACGTCAATTGGATAAAGTGGAAAATGTTTTGAAGGAGATGTCATCGTATGACATAAAACCTAATAAATTTACGTACACTGTCATGATTGATGGGCATTGTAAATCTGGCGATGTGAAAGAAGCTGCAAGGCTTCTTGCTGAGATGGTTGAAAAGGGCATTGTTCCAGATACTGTTACTTATAATGCATTGACCAATGGGTTTTGCAAGGAAGGTAAGGTAGAAGAAGGCTTTAAAATATGCAATCAAATGCCTCAGAGAGGAGCAGCTTTAGATGAAATTACATACACCACATTAATTCATGGGTGGCAGCAGCCCTCAACTGTTACAAATCAAGAATGATCAGGGAACTTGTAAAGGTCAGCTTTTAATTATGTGCATTAACCATTCTTTTACTTAACATTGAATCAGATATGTAGTATGTACTCCACTTATTTTAATAAATTAATTGTTTATTTTTCATTTGCCGAGTTGTTGATTTTGTATGATAAATTACATGCTTGTTGCTTTACTCTTTTTAGGCAAGCTGATTGTTAATGTTGGACACGATTTGAGACACCTTATCTTTAAGAACCACCCTGTGCTTATATAAGGTATTTTATTGGTGCCTCTATCAGGTTTTGGATTCATCTTGTTTGTTTGGTTATTGGTGCCTTGTTGGGACGAGTTGGTTTACAAATTCTGCATGTTCACAGGAGGTGACGTGTTTGCCAATCATAAGATTGCAACATGACAAATAGCTTTTTTGGATTAGTAAGTAATTGCACTCTATATAATCCATTATTATGATGGGTGAGCAATATGTATGTAATTTTGTATACGTGGGCGGGTGGGTATGGGTGTGTGCACACCTCTTTTATTATAACTCACATTTTTAAGATTTTCTTTTGTTATTTCTTCCAGCCAATCTTATGAATCATATTCTATGAAGCATAGGTACTTCAACAAACATGTCGTACAGGTACCGGGTACTTATTGGGTATTGGTATTTTGCATGGTACTTCTGTATACATATCAGGTACATGAAACACATACTCAAATGTTTTCTTCTTAATTTTCGTTGTACCCCTATTTATGTAAAATCAACAGTTTAGAGAAGTGTTTTGTTTCTGGTATACATTCTAGAATCAATGGACTTCAGATTTTTGTGTTCTAACTTCTGACTTAAGATTTGGTAGGTCTTGAGAGGAGGTTCAGTGAGTCTAACAGCATAGTTGATCATTTTGATGGATGTGGTGGTCGACTACAGTGGAACTCCCAAAAGCCTAGAAAGCCAGACCACAATGCGGTCGACCATGTTCGCTAGTGGTCAACCATAACATAACTTGGTTGATCGCACTTGGTACTTAAAAGAAAAAAGAACTTGTTAACTAGCTCCTCGAGGGCTAGACTATATATACCAAATACCCCATAATTAAATTTCCTATACACTCTCTACACTCTAAATCACTTCTCTAAGGAGTAACTCACCTTGTGTGAGTGAGATTGAGCTTGAGAAATCATTATTGCACCTTGAGGCGAAAGCTTAATCCTCCTGGAGTTCTCATTGTGGCGGTATAATTTATCATCCTTGTTTAATACATACTTAATGGATACACTATTGCCATTACACACCTACATTTTGGTATAGAGACACCCTTGGAGCTCTAGGTGAGCTATGTCACAAGTGTTGATATGTCTCCCGCCTCTTGCTATATCTATGGGCATTTTTTTTTTCCAACTTCGTTTTCATTTCCTTTTGATTTCAGTTTTGTTGATTAAATAATGTCAATGGAAATCTATATATATGACCAAATTGAAACTAGTGTAGGAAACAAATTGTTCAATTTGAAACACTGGGGATCAAAGTCAAATTTGGGTCAAACTATAGGGGTTAAAACTGAAATTACCCAAGAAAATAAATGGTATTTTCTTTTTCTTTTTTTCTTCTTTCACTTGAGGTATTATACTATATTTAATTTAGAGTTTTAACTCAATCTGGGATTGGATTTGGAGCCTGCAGGTGGGTACTCTAACAGTGAGATGCAAGAACCAATCAAGCATCATGGTCCTACATCCTGACGCTTCTAGCTTGATTAGGTGTGCTGGCACATTATTAGATTATTTGTTTGCTGCAAAAGGCTGTAGGGTTACCTTCTCGTGGCTTTAATGGATATCTGCTGTTTAATAGGTGAATATCCATTATTCACAGAGTGGTTTTGTTTACCAATCAAATTCTATTTGCAGGGATACATCAAATGCTTCAAGACCCTTCTCATAAAATATCATTAAGCACTTTATCATTCCTCATTTGGCTTCTTTTTAAAAATATACAGAATCTACTTCTTTAACTTTCACGTCTGCAACAAGGACTTGAAGATAACAGATTGCATACAGCATTTTAGTGAGAGCACAGAATCATATTTTTTAAGTGGATGAAAGGAAGAAGGCCAGTGAAATGACTTCTGGATCAAAGAGAATCACTTCCCATTCATGGATGCAGGTACTGGTCAACATTCAGAGATAACTAGTTTTAAGGTGCTTGCTTGTCAGTACAGTTTTTTGCCATTGCTTCATTTACCTTCTTTGTGTCTCTCTTGAAATTTTGATCTCTTTGTATTTCTCCGTTATAAATTCTTTGTCCTTTATCGGGAGTTGAAAAAAGTTCAGATCAACAAATAGATGCACTACCAATTTTTGGAATTTCTTTCGTTTCCATTTCTTTTATGTTAAACCTGTGGTAGGCTTCTGTATACCACACTTCCTAATTATTGACTTGAGTCATAAGTCCTAAAATAATGTTCTTAACACTCACACCACCAAAATAATAATAATAATAATAATAAAATCTAAATTTCTTCATTTTTCATTGCACTTTTGTCATACCAATATGAAATTACAATGGAGATTCAATTTTAGTACGAACATTTTCTTTCTGTTTACATATCAAAATTATTATAACAAAAGAAAACAATACTTGAAGATGAATAGGACAGTTTCTGTTGCCTGGACTACTACAATTCTAGCAAAAAAATTGATATAATAATTCTTGTGAGGTATAGTGCTTACAAACAGAAAATATCGTTCAACTTGAGTATTATCTACACCATGGAATTCAAAAAGAGAGAACAATACCCATATCTGTTCTGGCACGGACAATTTTAATTGAATGAAGTTCTTCATTGATGGTTCTGCCAAAAGATATAATGCTTGCTATAAACTGACATTCTTATGGATGTCTAACGACTTCCTTGCCATGAATTTTACAGATTAGCTTTAGACGCACTATCCTATTTGGTCTGTCCATACGTTGTGAGTTCCATATGCTTGTTTGTCAGGGAAAGAACATTGTCTTCATATATAGTGTGAGTCTCTCGGCTTGCTATAGCTTTTTTAACTTAAATATTTCTATGCTCACCAGTTAATGAAAGGAAAGAAACGTTATATTTGCAGGGGGATTCCACCTTGTTGAACTTAAGAGCTTTCTTGTCAAAAAGGCAATGACTTACGTATATCTTTATTTACTCACGTTCGATCAAAGATGCTGAGGTATAATATTTAGTGTTTTACTGATTTTTATTTTTCTTTTCTTTTTGCCATATAGAAGCATAGTTAGAAGGAGAAGGAGAAAGTAATTTAGGACCAACTATTTCTTTGTTTAGTTATCAAATCATAAGATATGTTAACTAAAGAAGCAAATCATCATTATGCCCAATCTTTTTCAGTATTGTTGTAATATATAACTGGATATATATTTGACTTTATTTTGTGTCGAAATAGAAGCTCTAATGAACCTTAGCAGATGCAATATTTGTGTATTAGTTAAAGAATAGCATGGAATGTCACACCCTGGTTTTGGGATGGTAGACACTTTTAAATATATATATTTTTTGAACTTATGTTCTTGTTGGAGAAAAAACAATTTGAATTTATTGGTTGCTTAACAATAGTGCAGAAACAAATGAGAAAAAAAAAAAAAAAAAAGGTGGTGACCTTGCAGCCAATTGCTATATGTTCATTTCATTGTATACATGTATGTGGGAGAGATAGAGGGTTAACCCATTACTAATTTTCAACTTGTAGTTTAATATGTATTATGGTTGATCCTTTTTTTGGAGCAATTTTGTCTGTGTCCAATGTACAGTACAACTTTTTTTATTTTTATTTTTTATTTATTGGCAATATGGTCAACCTTTATGTTATACATGATCTCTTAGAAGATTCATTTATCCAGCACTGGGATAATTGAGGACTGGACCTTCAGGATAGTTATTCTAAGGGACAATCAAAAGAATGCGCTTGCAACACATGATGTCCGTAGAAGCGTGCTTACAAATACTTTTTTTGACAATTTTGGAGAAACATTTTGTGGAAACTACTTGGAAAGTTATTGAAACTTTTATGGATTCGTTTTGAGAAATTTCTAACAAAAATTAAAAAAATACCTTATATAAATGCATAAAATGTCCTAGTAGAATGATTTGAGAAATTTCAATGAGGCACTTGGGAAGTTCTTGAAAACTATTTGCAAGTTTTGGAACCCTCTGAAAACATATCATTGAAAATGAAAAAATAACTAATAAATTATACAACTCGAACATTTAGAATTGTCGGTTTACTAAAAATAATTGTTTTTAGTAAAGTTTAATTTAGCTTGTTACTTACAATAGTAGCATTCAAGAAAAGTGTATGCTACTAACCTTATTGGTTTTGGTTGATTCTAGTTAATTAATTTGTAATAATTTTTAGTGAATGTTTAAATGCGTTGATATTGGAGGGACATTCAATCTTATTCTGGATGGAAGTGGCTCTTGGGAGGCTAGCAACTTATTCACTGTTTGAGCCTTTTTATCCTACGTTTTATCCCACGTGGCCATTTAACCCACAATCATATGGCTTTGATGTATAAGCCCGTTAGTCAAAGAATAACTATCTGAATGCCATGATGGCTATGTGAGCATGAACCCATTAAATTTCCTAGTTGTTAGACGGTTTAGTAGAAACTGCCTCATGCAAAATGATTTCCTTGAAATGACTAATCCCAACCTTAGGAGTTATGGCACAAGATCTGAAAGTGTTAAGGCACCTCATCTCTACAAGTTTAGCCTCTATTCATCACCCTAGTTCACCATTTAAGCCTCATATGAGTTTATATCTAATACATTAACAGGATTTATCAAAAAAATAATATCTAATCACATTAATAGGGAATAGTGAAATAATAAATAGCCATAATTTTTTTACAGAATTGTTTTCTAAAGTGAAATGGCAGTGGCATGCTGGTAATTCTAAACAATATTGATGGATCTTATGTTTTCAAATGATATGACTACAAGAAGCCGCATCATTCTTTATGATAATTCTGCACAATTTTTCTAGTTTGTCTAACACTACTTAAGGAATAATAAAACTAAACAATATCAAAGCAAGTCTATCTCCTAGAATATATTATGCTAGCATAACAAAGCAATTTGCCTTCGATGCATCTTAAATACGTGCCAGAGAATAAAAGACTAAGCCACATCATTTTCATTCTCACAAGCTATGAGACTCCACTATGCGCGGCAAGTTCAATGTAAAGCTTAAAAAATCCCTTTGCACATGCCTATGGATTTCATGCTTCAAAACCATGCTAGATCTCTGCTTGTTTACAAACTTCATTTTTTATTTATCAAATGCATCAATCTCAAATTGTGATTTGATGTTTGTAAGAGTGAAGATACTTTAAACGCATTAAAAAACAAGGACTCCAATCTTATATTACACATTTGACATTTGTTATATGCACACTCTAATGTTAACATGCACACAACAAAAAACAGAAGAACAATATATACTTTTTGTTCTTTTCCTTAGTTACAGGTATCTAAAAAAGTATCTACTTGAAATGATACACAGCATGTGCTTGTCACTATATTGCTTCAGTACCATTTCCTTACAATGGCTAAACTCTTACACTGATACACACTTCCTTGCATATTATACTTAAGGTATGAAACAGGACTACAGCTGAAGATGATTTGAAGTCATGGGCTGAAAAACATGTTCAGAATCTGACTCAAGGGCTGCAACTAATTCCGGCCATAAGATTGCCGATACAGTCCAAGAACCGTCACCTCTAGCACTTGGCCTCTGGTTCATATAACCAACTCCAATCCTTTCTATGGTAGAACAGACGGTCCCAAGCACCGGACTTCCAAAGCCAAAGTCTAATTCAACTACTGGAAACCTTCGTCCCGATGACACAACAAGAGCAGGACCGGCACGACCTAAGACGATCTTAGATAGCATCAATCCAGGCCTATGACACTCAATCCAATCAATCAAGTCCAAGAAATGAGTCTCATTAGTTACCTTGGAAATCGCCTCATGAACAATCTTGGCAACATCTGATAAGGACCCATTCTTCAATTCAACCATGCTTGCCTCTCCAAAGCCCAGTGACAAGACATTTCCAATGTAATTTGACATGGAGTTCTGATCTTTACTCATTCTAGTTCGTCCATCAACTAACCAACCCATCTTGCAGTGTTTGTGACTTTCATCAACGGCACGAACCATGACCTTCCAAACATAAGCAGAGAAAGCCTCGATTTTGGTTCTTTTGCTACCGTCAATAGATGCTATCCTCTGCAACTGATTGATGCTTGATATGTCTATATGATAAAGGCGCTTGAGCAAGATGTTCTTCATTGGTATGCTTAATATGTCTTCCATGGTGCAGGAGATGAACGCTTGGTCCACCCATGGGTCATAAGTAGGAGGAAATCGGGCACGAAGAGACCTACGATGATCAGGTGTGCAAGAAATTTTCTTGTCCCTGGCTATTTCAGACCATGTAATGAGAAACTTACTGAAGGCACTAGCATCACCTAGTGCATGGTCAAATGTGAAGGTTATTGCTATGCCTCCACAAGTGTAACGTGTTACTTGGATTTGCAATGGGATGTCATGGTTGATAGAGACTAGTTTTCCCTGGAGAGATTGGTTGAGATTGTAGAAGTTTAGCTCTTTTAGAGCGATGTTAGCACAGGCTTCCACAATAAGAGCACCACTATTGTCGCAAATGATTTCAGGCTCACTAGTGCTTGGGTTTTCAATGATTCGACCAGAAAATGGGTAGAAATGATTTAGAGTTTTGGCAAGCGAGAATTTGAGGGCCTCAATGATTGATGTGAAGTTAGCAACGAGGGGATTGTGGTAGAAATAGAAGTATGTTACGGGAAAGCGGCCGGAAAGGAGGTCAAGGTTTGAGAGGGTAAGAACATGAGATTCCGGCAAAGGCCCGATAGCTTTTACGATGGTTTTCTTGGTGAAGTGAACTTCATAGGTGCCATGGACTTCACTCTCAACTGCCATCATGATGGCCAGGTAATCTACTGCCTTGTAGCAGTTTATGATGTATTTCTTGCTCAGTTTTATGCATATATATAGCATACTTGTGTTACATAGTGGATCAACATATGAACCAAAGAAAATGACAAAAACAAAATAATTGTACACGTTAATAAAAGGCAATTTTCAAGAGTAATGCATCTAGACAATAGCTTTTGATGTCAATGACTACCAGATTATTTGAGCCATGGTAAAATGGTTGAGTAAGAGAAATTGTGGCTATTGAAATAATGGAATCAGTTGTGGACCAAGTTCAAGTATTTTTTGTTGAATAATTTGTGTAATGGTATGATGTCAATAACAATTTTGATTTAGTGATGGTAGTGGTTTTGGACATGTCCCACTCGATGATGACTATGACCATGGCACTGCATTTGGCTTCACTGTACATTTGAATGGACCAATCTGCTCCTCAGATGGGGTTCTCCATGGCTTGCTAACACGCAACATATTCTACTAGAAGTCCCACATTAATTATTTAGTAGTCTCGGAGTATTGTGTGCTCTCAACCAATGACGTAGATGAAAAGTTTACTGGTGGGACAATACCGACCCACCTTTTTTAGGTTGTTGAGAGACAAGAGATAATCCACCTAGTGTGTTTTGTGGTTTCTTATTTGTCGGGATCACCACATGACCAATACTATGTGGTATTCCAAAAGTACTTAATAATTTTCCTAGTTCTGGAGCAGTTTTAACATGTTGACATGGTGCTCTTGGTTATAAGATGAGATAAGTGGAGCCGATCTATACCACTTTGGTAGGTTGGGTGGGAGCCAAGGCCACCACCATAAGCAATGCTGCATGTATTATGAAGCCACTTAATAATTTTCCTAATCCTAGAGCAGTTCAAAGTGTTGGCATGGTGCTCCCAGTTATGGGATGAGATAAGTGGAACCTAAGGGTGTGCTCCCTCTAGGTTTTAAGTTCGATACTCACTAGCTACAATAAACTCCTTGTTGCCAGTCCATACAGAGCGTTTGCTCTGACTTTAAATGGGACCCCCGTAAATGGGCGATGAGATTGGTCTTCGAAAATTAGTCGAGGTGCGTGTAAACTGGCATAGACACCCAATTATGAATAATAATAATAATAATAATAATAATAATAAGTGGAGCCAATTTGGACCACCTTAGTACGTTGGGTGGGAGCCAAGGTCGCCTCTTTTATCCTTTTCTGCACAGCCTCATTGGTCATAAACACCAAATACACGTGCTATGATGGTGTTTTGAGATTATTGAATAATTTTTGATGCTTCATAACATCACTGGGAGAGAGATTAGTTATCCGTCAATACAATCATACATGGTTAACCCCTGCAGTGAAGTGGCTTGAGTGCAAACGCTTAAGAGTAATGCTAAAATGACTATCTATTACTACGATTTTCTCTTACCATTTGATGTGTTAGTTTAGTTGTCAGCATTGCATTGGAGATATTATATGAGGAATTTTGTAGCCCTTTATCAAAAAAGGCATTTTCGTAAACTATAGTGGAAGCTTTTGGCTATCTATTTAAGGAAAGAATGAAGATAATTCAAAAGATTTTCAAAGATGCCCATTACATCTTGTAGTGGTCAAAAGTATGCATTATTGATTTTTTGACTTGAAAAAAATTCAAATTAGAGCTGGTGGAGTGGCAATATGAATCAATGATGGTGGAAATCCCACTGTGGCTTGATGATGGTTATTTGAAAAGCTGAAACGAAATAGATTGAATTTGTGGGGTTATCAGTAGGAACCAAACAAAAACTTCTTTGTCACAACAACCCTTTGATATAGGATGGGTAGTGCTGCGATTTTCGTATGACAAAACTAGTGGTTTGGGAATGTGTTGTAATGAGGAAAATCAAATCAACCATTGCAAATATCATTTCATTGCCTCTATATGTATATTTACATTTCAGGTAAAATATTTTTTTTAGGACGCTTGTGTTTTGAAACTGCATCAATTTTTATCTTTTTTACATTGACCTTATGATACATTTTTTTTTAAAAAATGGTGAGTTCGTGCAATTTGAACAGGTGCTCAAGCCCCCCATGCACCTTACCCACACTCGATGGGTGCCCAAGCCCATGAGTTTGATATGAATTCGCGCCATGGCGTCCTTTATTGTTTTGAGACATTTTCCAGTGTGTGCTATTAGATCAAAAAATGTCAACTGGGTTTAGAGCCACGTGGAGTGAAAATCAAGTGCGGAGACTTCTAAATTATATAGGTGAACCAGGTAGGGGTCGTAACTTCCTTGATTCAATAATGGATTTGTTGGGTGAAAAGTTTTTCTCAGGAGTTTCATGTTAATTTTTTGCGCACTTGTTCTTGTGGATTGTATATTTCTACTTATTAACTCTGTTGAAATTGGATTTAATAATTATGAAGTAATTTTTTAAAATTAGAATTGAATTTTGAGTTGGGCCTATTCAGCTGTTCCACTATTTCAGCCATGACTGTTCTACTGTTTGCTAGCAAGTAGGGGCCTTTGGTTCAGCATCTGTCTGGGTTGTCAAGGATCAATAATATCACCATCTCATCACTATAAACTTTTCTGATAGTGCCATCCATTTTTTTGAGTGTTTTTGGCAACTCTTCCAGTGTCAATGAACCATTATGATTACTCATAGTCAGCATCCATCATAAACCAAATACGGCAAATTTTAATTTAATCTCCCATCATTTAGAAATAAGCACATGATTTTCCTATTATTTGTAAACTAAAGTGCATCATTAGACACGTTAATGGCTTAAGCGAAAAAACTAAAATAACCTTGTACATAAGTAACTTCATTGTGCAAATCGTCGTTTTTTGTTTTTTTAATCAGGTGCACGATAGAATAAGAGGGATGTGAGGTTGGCATATGAGGTCGGAGTAGGAATGGGACAAATTGTCATCTCTACATGCCAGTGGAGCCAAAAAGGAAGTGGAAGAACACACCATGTGATATGTAAATGATATTCACTTGTGAGCAATCCCTAAAAAGCAATGAAAAGTGGAAAGCCACCATGCAAATCATAATCAAGTTAAGTGCATATGAAAATATACTATTACCAGTCCAAACAAAAAAGGAAACACTATTACCAATCCAAACAAAAAAGGAAATAGTATATGATCATAAATAAAACAACAATCAGCCACTTAGTTGTTGAAGAGGCCACATGGAGACAGAAGCATGATAAGGGTATGCATGTAGGGCTTTGTGGTTTAGTCATCAACAGGGCAACAACCACTTGCTTTACAGGGTCATTTTCTCTGTTTTGGCATATGTCCCTAGCCCTCCACCACTAGGTGGTACTCGCTCACGGGCTTGTTTATTTGCATTGTTTTGCTTTGCTTTGCTTTGCTAGGGTTGCAATTTTATTAAGTGTTTTTACATCTCATTTTGTGTGTTTAATAACTAGTTATTCAATGTCGTTGGTAATACTGATGTAAAAATGCCGCAAACATATCTTGGTCGTTGATTTTTGTGGGAGATGGGTATTTTGAAAATTGATTTTATGTGGAAAAATGAAACTTGACCCTTGAAATTTGTGAGTCACTATTTCATAGAAATCAAGGGTTATGTCTGGACATTGAATAGTTTTTATATGTTTAGCTATCTTGATCTACCAATATATAGGAAGATATCAAGATTTACCAACAATTAACAATTTTACTAACACATTATGTAAAAGTACTAGTAAAATTGTTAGCAATAGGAGCATTGTTGATATTTCTTAAATCCCAGCTGGACCATTGTGCCTTCATTTTGTCCCACTTTGACTTGTTTTCACTACTCATTTTTCCCATTTAATTTTTTTTTTTTCCCTGCAACGTAAAAATAAAAAATAAAAAAATTCAAAATCTTCATTTTTTTTTATTATTTACACAAGCACTTGGAAATTGATTTTAAGTCTTGTCCAATTTGTACCTATACTTGAAGTCTCAAATTATTATAAATCAATTATTAGTTTGGAAATGAAAAAATCAATACAATAACAGAAGCAATTGAAAATGTAGATATCTAATCATATATAACAAGCATTTCAAGATATTATTTTTTAAAATTATAGAGAAGAGCGCTTCATATTTTGAAAATTAATTATGTTCTAAAGATTAGGTTTGTATGCGATCTTTGGCCTTGTTTGATTAGTAAAATTATTAGGCAGAACAATTCATGAAATTAGTATATATGATTGTTTATCTAATTGAAATAGTGGGATAAATAATTTCTTATTATCCATGTTTGTTTTGTAATGAATGTGAAAATATATAATCCCAATTTTACCCTTTTGTCCATATGTTTGGTAACGAATGTGGAAATATTTCCTCTTGTGAGCTTGGCTAGAGTGAACAGACTTGTTTACTGATTTTAAATATCTAAAAAAGTGAATGCCTGTGTTTCATCCCTGTGCAATACTTATCTATTATGTATTAGGGACAACAAGAAGTTTTTTAAATTGTTAGATTTTTATATCAGGTTAATTTTTGTTGCAAGATTTATCTTGTAATGGGTAGAGTGGTCATTTTGTTTCTGAGGCCCGCCAAAGTTTTGAAAGCTCAAACTCGATTGAGGCAAGAGCGACATGACCAAGCCCATTGTAGTTGTTATGGAGGAATTGGGCTTGCTCTCGGTTCGGCTCGTGTCACAGCACACCATAGGGTTGTTTTGATAATACATTAAAATAGTCAAAAAAATCGTTATTAAAAAAATGGGACATTTACAGATAAATTCTAATTTATGAACTTATATTTCATTAAGTCTGAATTAAGATTTTTCGAACCTTCAAGTCTCATTAAATTTTTAATAGTTGGAATTACTTTTCAAACAATGATTGTTCATCATTTATGATTATCTATAAAGAAATGTGATAGTTTGACATTTATTTTGATTTTTAAAACTTTAAAATATCAATTTTGAAATTGAAATTAAAAAAAACCGTGCAAAAAATATTTTTTTTTTGAAAAAAATTTTAAAAATTGAATTATTTTT